CTCAAACTAAACATGCCTGTAGCGACAGTGGAGAGGAAAAACTCCCTTTTAACAGGAAGCAACCTCCAGCAGAACCAGTGTTATCTTGGTTACCGGGCTCTGAACATTCTCTGCATGGTTTCAAAAGGGTAGTGTAAATGGGGCTTAACTGAACCACCAAGTGTTTCTTTAGGGTCATGTTTGCTGACCCTAAAGTTCAAGTAGTAAAAAGTGCAATTTTTTCACAGTAATGTGATGTTATAGATGTGATCATTATTAAGATATTATGCTTTTTTTTTTTTTTTAACAGAGGATGGATATCAAGCTAAGTGAAATTCAAGAAAAAATAAACCAGGCCCAGAGCCCTCTACCTCTCTTCACATGTTTACACGTCAAACCAGATGTTTCCGAGCTCATGTTTGCAGGTAACCTTTGTTCTTTTTCTTTAAATAAAGGTGCGTCTCATATAACCCAGGTTTCCCACAGATCTATATTTTGCATGTCTTATAGAGAATGCATATAGTTTTTCAGCTAGCCCACATGCAAAATAAGCAGCCAACACATTTTCCTTTTAATGCTGCGCTGGCGTCAAAGAGAGAATGAGAAATGAGGTGTGAATGAGGGTGGTTCCACCGCTGAGCTAAATCAAGGAACCGAATACTGAGAACTAGTTAGGGGTTGTTGCGAGTTGATCCCATATGCTGTAACACAAAACTTCCTCTTTGTTTAAGTGCCCTCTACAGTAACTGCTTCAGCAAGGCGGGGAAAGAAGTTTAAGAAAAGAATAAACAAGAAAACAACTGTGTTGAACTTTAAAGGAAAACCTTTTTCTTTTTTCTCCAAAGTAAGGTCAACTGCTCACCTGGTGCTAATTAAGTAATTAGCACCAGGTGATTGATTTTAACAGACTCATATTCCACATACACATAAAATAAACTAATTCTACGTGTGGAAGAATAAACCTATTTCATCAGGAGTTGGAAGAAGGCTGGTTGTGAGAAATTAACTAAAAGAAAATAAGATGAGATAAAATGTATTAATTTTACGTTTAAAAGTCGCACTTTTGTTTTATTTTTAACAGATGTTTTAAGGAGAAAAGTGCTGAACTACAAAATAAATATCCAACAGGAATGTTTAAATGGACACAGGTGTCAGATTGAAGGGCTGAATGGAGAAAAAAAAATGCAATATTCTGATTTGGTTCTGTTGGAATGAAGTTGTATTCCGGATGAGAAGATAGTTTTTGCCGTTCTAAATCTAAACAGCTTGCAGCTAAACACTTGTTCTTGTCATTTTGTTTACGGCAAACCTGACTTTCTGGCCAATGTTAAAGTGCTGCATATTTGCCTTTAGTAGCAAGATGCTAATGCTCTCTGCAGGCTAAATCCTTGCAGTATTTATGTCATGAATTAACTAAAGATCAGACCCAAATGCAGAAGACCAAACAGAGGAAAAAGACCAAGGAAAAAGTTTAACAGGTTTATTTATGAGATTGTGAAGAATCAAGTGTTGCTCTGAACACTGCTCAACCGGAACTGAAAGGTGAGGGGAAGACACTGCGGTTAGTTCAGGCTCAGTGGGAAATTTGAATCTTGATCTTGAAGAGGAGAAATAGATTGCTGACTCACGTTTCCAGAGAAGTTGTTGACTCTTTGACTCCAGTCTGTGTGCGGTAGTTCCAGTGTTTGTCTGATTCGGTGGAGGGCGGACAGGGTTTACCCAGAATGCGGTTGTCTGTAGGTGAACGGAGAAGCTGACTGCCACTCAGATTTCCTGCGGTACTTAAATGGGTCGTAGTGGAGATGAATCCCTTCCTCAGTGTGAAGCTCAGTGTGAACGATCTCTTGAGGAAAAGTTGATTCAAACCTCCAGTTTAAATCCTCAACTCAGCTTAAAACTCAGATGATCCTTCCAGGGAGAGAAGGTCAGAAAAAAACCTAGTTTGCAGGATGACTTTCTGCCGAGAGGCAAAGACAAAAAACAAGATTAAAACTCAGGTTGAGAAGAACTCAGTTTGACTCAGCAAAACTCAGCTTGGCTAGAGTACCCAAAACTGGAAAACACTCTGGCATTGAGATAGTGGCAGTCAGCAGATTAAGAACACTCTTAACGAGGTAACTCACAGCAGGTGAATAAGGAGGTGGACCAGAACCAGGCACCTCTACCTCTTGGTAGAGAAAGGGAGACAAAATACAGAAAAAACACATACACAGACAGGAATCCTGACAATGTATGAATTGGTAAAGTCATCAGACCAGTGTTGGGCGAAGTACTCAACAGTAGTACTTGACTGAAAGTATCGATCCTCATAGTTAAATCTTACTCAACCACTGTCAAGGTTTGGTTGAGGTTTTGAGGACCCAAATGCAGAGACAGGGAGGCAGAGGTGAGTTCTTGTAGTTTTAATGGAGTGTTCACAAGCAACTGAGGCAGGAATCCAAAAATCCAACATAAAAATGTAAAACAAACCAGAACCATGGAGATATCAGGGAAAACAAGGACAAGGAGCAGGGGAAAGATCGGGAACCAGCACTGAGGAACTGCACAGAGAGAATATTTATTGCTGACTGAACAAAGACAGGACTAACGAGTTGATTGGGAGCAGGTATGAACAGAGGCTTCTAGAAAGGTGCCAGGGAAAAGGGGAACACAAGAGGGCAACAGAGGCCAACAAATAAAAACCGAAGAACTCAAATACATCCAGAAAAACACAACAAAATAGGAATTAAATAAAAACATGAATCAACATGAAACTCAAAGAAGACTTAACAGAACCAAGACAGTGACAACCACAAGTAAAGGTTACTATGTCAATAATCTACTCAAGTTGAAGTATTGAAGTACTCACTTTTGAAAAATACTTAAGTGTTCAAAAGTAAATTAATTTAAAAGTACTTAAATATTCAAAAATACAGATAAAATTTTCTAATATCAGTACATTTCTGTCTAATTTTCAGAGTAATTTTAAAGAACTTTGAATCTTTTACAAACCACCCGTTCTACTGACACATAGAACCACCCTGTTACAGATTCTACACCACCTGTACAGAACTTCAGGATAAAAATGCCACAAAAAACAAGGACAGCTATTTTGATCATTATTTCGTATTTAAAAACAGCATCAAGAAAGCAGGAGAGTCTTGATTCTCCTCACATTTTAACTACAAAGTAGAGGTTTAAGGTGGAATCTATTACCACAAATAAACTGCAATTCTGATTTGAGAACTCATCCTATTGAACATGGCAACAATTAACGGCTTAATAAAATTAAACTACAATGTAAGTTTCTCACATTTGTAGAACGTCATGCAAATCTGTCCAAATTCAGTCCTAAGGGCTGCTAATTTGCATGTTGAAATTGCATTTCAATAAAGAAAAAACAGCAACAGCGGATTTCAAACCTTAGCTGAGCAGAAAGGAACAAGTAACCAGCAGCCAGTAGAAAGTACAATATTTGACTTTAAAATGTAGTAGAGTGAAAGTTCCCCTTCGCAAAATATGAATCAAGTAAAATAAAGATACTCAAAAATGTACTTCACTTCCCACCACTGCATCAGACTACATCTTAAACCAATTTAACCTTTAATGGACATTCATGATAATGATTTAAGGTGGGACATATAGCCATGATGGAAAAAAAGTGCTGCTGAGCCGACAGTCAAACCAGCATAAACATGGTAGGGCTGGCGGATGCACATGCAGCTGCTGCTATCACCTCGGTTTTGTCAGAACCCATGATATCATCTTTGAAAGACGAACAGAAAGAAAGTAGCAAGCGTAGGTTTTTGTGGTTTCTCATGTCTGCTGATATTCGATTAGTTCCATTAATGGCTAAAATCAAGCTATGGTAGGTGGGCACCTGGTGATGCATGAGACTTTCTATTGAATGACCTTGCTTCCACGGAACAGAACATTTAAAAAGTCCCATTATAATAATAATGTGTAGAGGGAAAACCTGCGTGCTATACATCATCAGTCTGGCTTGCCAGGTTTCATCTAAAGCGGTCTCCTATCATCAGGCTGTTTAACTTCTGATAGGGCTGTGTGAACAGTTGCTTAGTAGCTTAGAAGCTACAGGTCTAGCGCCCCTAGTGTCTAAAAGTTACACAGTGTTGCTTTAACCTCAACTCTAAATTTGGCCCAATACTTTCCAAATTTAAAATTATATCTAACTTTTGATCATTAAACTGGCTAAAAATAAATGAAATTCAAATGGTATTCATTTGTGAACACAACCAAAACCTAACTTCTGTAAGTAAGCAAGCACATTATTAAAGGAATAGTACACCCAAAACATGATTAGCCTTCATTTTCTACTCACCCCCATGCTGAACAACACTCTGGAGTACTTTTTT